ATCCTGAAAGTGCTTCACGAGCTCTTTCAAACGGTACCAGTAATAGGTTACAGAATAAACTGGAACTATCCGAAAATGCAATGTTTCCAGCTTCCATACTAAATGTATGGCCAACCACACAATATTAGAAGTGTAATTTATTTTTTGTTAAATAATAAACTTAAAAAGTCGGTTAAATAAACTCGTAACTTGCATCTTATTTAAAATTATTGGTGGAAAACATTAGTTTTAGGCTTTAGTTGCTTTAATATTATCAAGAGATGAGTGCCATGAATGTAATAGTACTAAATGTATGGAAGATGGAAACATTAAATTTTTGGATAGATCCAATTTATTCTGCAAGCTAATGTTGATACCGTTGGATAGAGCTCGTGAAGCACTTTTAGGATCAGTAACTAGTTTTGCGATATCTTGTGTAGTTTTTAATATTAAGTAACTTTACCAAATGTATGGAAGCTGTAAACATTGAATTTTCGGATAGTTACCAGTTTATTCTGTAACCTATTATTGGTACCGTTTGAAAGAGCTCGTGAAGCACTTTCAGGATCAGTAACCAGTTTTTCGATATCTTGTATAGTTTAGAAATAATCGAGTGAGATCACTTATCGTTTCCACCATGTATATAGATTTATTGCCTTACATTAGGAGTCAAATATGAAGGTTAAGTACCTACTATTTTGATAGGTACGTACGAGTATGCGCGATTAAGACTGAAGGAAGACTGGACCTGCAACGCTAATGCAAATCCACAGAATACCTAACATGGTCATGCTAATATTAATTATTAATTAAAATAAGTTTAAACAAAAGACAATTTGACATGTAGACGTGACACTATAAAAGTCAATGACATTGGTTTAAAAAGTTGGCACTGACCCAAAAGGCTTAGCACTTTCACTCATATAGGTACAGTCATACTAAATCGAGGTTGAATTACGATTGTATTCATAATTTCGGCTACGTGACCCCAGTTTCGTTGATTTACAGCCTTATAGGAGTGAATCAGCTGGCAATCCCAGTGCGTACGCGCAGGGTTCCGCACACGTGACTGGCATGACAAGTACTTGTTTAACAAAGATTGTTTGGCGACGACGATTACAATAATCTGATTTTGGGATGATCCTCGCAAATTATTTAAATTAATTATTGATTTATCTATGTAAGCCCAAGTCTGGCATTTGACCTCAACCAAAATTGACATTATTAGAGATGATACTATGATACATCACAAATTATACGAACTTAGTAAGTAAGTTGTAAGAAAGAAAATGTATAGGCTTACTGTAACGTGACTTCAAACAATAAGAAAATAAGCATACCTAGAAAAACTACATTAAGTAAGGCTTTTTCCGAAAGATCCACGACTCTATTGTTCTTCTTTTCCCACCGAGTTCATGAAATTTTAAAATTTTCTTATAGAAAATGGTTTTTATTATTTATGTCGTGGGTGGATCCGTTGGGAATCAAAGTATAAACTTACATTTTTTTAAACAATAGAACTGTGGATTTTTAAGAATAAGTCAGTTAATATGTTGACGAAATCAAAAAATACTATTCGGAAAACTGGTATCGTGTATAATCTTACTCATTAGACCTACCTACCAATCTTGAAGCTGAAATAATATTTGTAAGCTCGTTTTTAATTCACCAACGTCTGTTTACAGAAACCAGCGGCAACATTTTGGGTGCTAGCGAGTGGAACACGGGGTATCCTTCGTCCGCCACGGTGTACCCGGCCTACGGACCCCTGCAGCCGGCCTACTACAAACCCGACCCCACCATACATATCCCTGCAGGTAAAGTGAAGCACTGTGTCATCATAAGCTGTTGTAAAAGGGGTTTTGCCACAAAATGTATAAGTGTTAAAGTGATAATGAAAACCTAGAATGCTTTTTTTATCTGTTAAAGTTTTAGCCAACTTATACTACATAAAATACTATGTTTTGAATAATGGAGAGATTATGGAGTTTTGGGCTGACACTGTGTAGGTTTGTTGTCGACACGATAAGAAGAAGAAGATGTTTTAATTGAAAATAATATCAGTTCTGAGCTATCATTACAATTGTATTTTTCAGAACTCTTTATTATAATTCTAATATCTACAAATCCAAAATACTAACTTTTCTAATTCGAAACATTGATCCATTCATCACCATAATAGAAGTAAAAAATATCCTTTTATAAACTTTTAATTGATTTTTCCGGAATTTTCCGATAGAATCGAAAAGCTCTACTGTTAGTTTAAGCGTTGAGCGCCATCTGTTGATACATTTAGCAAACGGTAACTCTAGTCACAGAATAAATAATAGTAGCTCTAGTCCTCTTCTTAGCGCGAGTGGGTAGTGCGGGTACTAAAAAGATTTTCGTAAATAATGTGCAGAACTTTACGCCCGTATTCACAAACATTACTATGAGGTCTCACAGTGCGCGTGGACGCACAGGGAGTGAACACGAACCAATTACAGGGCTTATTCAACCCCGTGCGATCGATTTGCTACTTCACTTGGGCAAGCATCGTTTGTGAATACGGGCGAAGTAAGAAGAATACCCAATGAATAAAAACACCTGCCGTCACCACACGGCATGCCGTGTGGGTGACGGCAGAGTAGAATACATTTGTCACCAACCCCTACTCTTCCCGCGGGTGTCGTAAGAGGCGACTTAGGGACTACACATCAAACAGAGAACGGGTAGCAGCGCTCTCTGACAAACATCAATCTTTTAAACTGCGATCTCCAACCCGCCTGCCAAGCGTGGGGATTATGGCAAAACCCTCCACTTTAGTGGAGGAGGCTCATAGTCCAGTAGTGGACTGTAAAGGGCTGTTGATGATGATGAAAAACACCTGTGTATGAAAAAATAAATATGGGACAATATCAGATTTGTTATAACCATGACTTTGAATTTTGTTTATATTCCGTAAAATTTCCCTGTTACCTATAGTCAAATGGGACTTATTAATAATAGTGAATTTATGATAAACAAACTTCCTCAATTCGTAACCGTAATGTAGCGGTTTACCACATGATAAGTTCCCAATTGGAGGTAAACTGTATTGCTAAATATTCAATATTCTAGTACATATTTCGATGTAATGGTAGGTGTATGCGAAATAAAGGAATATATGTACCTAACTGTGTACATAATTGCAGTTCACTTTTATGGTTAAATCACACAGTTTATCTACTTAATTTACTATTTTGTAACAATTTAAACAACAATATTACTTAAGACTACGGATATTTTTCGGTTTGTTTAGATAGATATTTAGACAAAGCATGAAAACAAATAAAATTAAAAATAAACTCGAATCTCAATGGGATATAATACAGATAGACTTTTAGTCCAACAATGGGATTCCTTTTGTATATTATAATGTTTTAATAAACAAAAATAAGCTGAACTTGTTACAATCGTAAATATTTGAATAGGTACATAATAACTTGAGGAAACAAGCACTTTATATGCTAGTAGAAATAAGAAGTACCTAACTAAGTACCATCAGGGAAAAGATCATTCCATAATATTTACATTTCTCAACGAACTGCAACACCGAAAATCTTTTTGGCACCAATGAATGAACCAACCAGTCGATACTCTTGTTGTTTCTTCAACGATATAAGAGTAAGATGAAGATACAAATAATAGCAGACTAATAATTAAATACGTTTCTTTCCAGTGCTGCCTCCTGAGCTTCCTCTGGGGCACACGGACTACGGCGGCTTCCAAACCGGAGGCACCGGCTTCGTCAAGGGCAGTCCCGGGGGCCCGGCCCTCACTGAACTGAACACGCCGGCCCCAGTCCCCGCCCAGCGATACGACGCTAACTACTACAACTCCTGGCCCACCAACACGTACAACTACAACAACTACCAATACAACAACATAAACAACAACCCAGCCTGCCTCCAATCACATACTCCCTACATCAACCCCAATCCCCAAATGATCCTCCCAAACCTATACTCGACTGTCAACCAAAACCAAATACACGTACACCTGCACAGCTCCGCTGACAAACACAGCCTTGAGCAGTACATTCCCAGCGAAATCAAAATAAGCGACATCGACGGAGGCATCTCTATCACCACTGAACTCCAAGGCGCCGGAGAAACGTCGGGCCTCGTACAAACTTGCGACACCGGAGAAGAAGCCAAGCACGCCCTTTACGGCCCCAGCAGCCAAGAAGTCTGGCGGCCATATTGACAGTTCGCTCACCACGACAATCAACATTCCGTTGTACATATTGTGATATAGATTTATTAGAATAAATAATTATGAAATTCTAGATAATTGTATAGAAATAAATTAATGTTAAACATTAATTCGAAGTTAAGTGTTAAAATGTACCTTTTCATTTATGTTTAAGATATTAAATTAAATAAAAAATTATCCGTGTTTTATTAACAACAACAAAAGCTTTAGTTTTATTAAGATAATAATGAATGAAATATGTAAGTATCGACAGCTTTTAGATATGACCGACGATATTAACTTACTCGTGGGCTACAAGTTGGCAAGAAAGTGAAGTGTTAATTATTATGGTCAAAATAGTTATTAAATTAACTATCATGTTCATTAACGTGCATGAGTGCAGAAAAAATAAATAAACACTTTAAATTCTCTCAAGAACTCAAAAACAAAGAGCCACGTCATCGTTGATAATACTTACTCAAGGGTAACGGGAGATTAGGTGCAATAAATAAATAAATAATTCCATACGCTTCTCCCTTCATCCAGCAATAAACCGAAATTAACGAAAAATTGACTATCAGAATTATTATAATAATCCTCATTTTTTTTCCGCTAAACACGAATAAAATTAGAACAATTTTGAACATTTGAAATACTTTTTTTTTATTTACTGCTGCGTTCACTACAAATAAATTATTAAAATGTCACAAACTTTTTTTTATAAAAACCGGTAACGGTGGCACATCACTATATTAAGTGTTATCTGTGACAGATATTTAAATATTTATTTTTACATCTGGCAACACTACAGTGCTACGTGATAAAATGGCGTTGCTCATGTCTCCTTTGATTTTATGAAATAATAATTTGTGACAATTTTAGTGTTAAAAGAGTAATTATTTATTAAATAATAAAGAATAAATCTTCATATAGACTATTTACAAGTGTAAGTAACGCTTATAAGCTTTGTTGTGAACTTCTACGTCATTCCTTCCTACAGGTTTCCGATAACGGCGGACAAAATGCAAATTAAATGCCTGTTCCAGAATTAACAGTACTTGTTTGCTTGCAGTCGAAAAAGAACATCTTAGTGTATTACTGAGAGTGCAATGTCAGAGGAGATAGAGCGGCAGTGTGAGACGGCGAGTGACAACGCGGGCGGCGGCAGTTCGAAGGAGTCGCGCGTGTTATTGACCCCGCATCAGCTCGATGCCGCGTCCGCGGACTCGCTGCGAGCCGCATGGAGAACCCAGGACTTGTACATAGACCACCTCGAATCGTTGAACAAACAGTTGGAAGGTATTTACGAAAGTTTCCGCTTGTAGCACCCCGAGTTCGGGGTCGGAGCGAACCGCGAGTTATTAAGTTACCAATCGACAATACTTTAACTAAAATTACTAGTGTTACTGTTTTGACCGAATGCTGAATATGTTACTGTGATATTGTTAAGAAATATGTGGTACTGGTGTAATTTAGTTATGATAGTAATTTGAAGAGTTTGGTGTGATGCTGTGCCTGTGGACTGTGGAGTGATCAGTGGAAGTGATAATGAAGGCTCGAGGCCAAGTGGTGACGCCAGGTAACCCTGGATCAGTGTTCAGTGCTGCTATACAACAAGCATTACCCATGAAGAATAATGCTGAGTGGTCTACCCAAGTTACTCATACAAAAGTAAATATGTTTTTCTTCTTACTTTGCTGTATTTTGTCAAGATGTTGTACTTATTTGCTTTGTCTCTATACATTGATGTTGTGTTTAAAATGAAAACATGAACCAAATTAAACCCAACATCATATTGTTTTGTTTGTGAGTTAAAAAATGTATGACATAATGAGTGATGTAGTACTTAAAATGGTTGTCCCACTTATACCATCCCTTAAATGATTTCTAGTATCCTGTTATCATTTTAACAATATATTTAAATGTAATCCCTGTTAGTACTTAACCATTTTTCTACAATCACTCATAACTTGTTTAAAATTTCTGTAATTTAGACCTAAGACAATCAACATTTACTTGATTGTTAGCATTACCTTGGAATTCATGCAAAATAACATGTTTGTATTGATTTCATACATCTTATTATTTCAAAAACTTGTTTTTCAACAACAAAACAGGCTTGTTGCTTGGCATGAATTCCTGTTTCAAATGGGTTAAAAGATGTAGGTTCTGCTTATTTCTATACTTCACTAACTACAATTTTGGTTTTATATGGTATTTTTACTTTTTCGTAATTGTACTATTTAACTTGAAAATTAAAAATATAAGTTTTGATATCACTGTCTACTAGGATACTGATATTAAATATATTTACGAGTAAACAGAAAATCTTTGTATTCAAAAACTCAATCAGGTTCAAAAACTAGCTTCAATTAAGCTAACATGGTCATAATGTTTTAGTAATAAGATTTTAACTTTTGCGTTACATTTCATATTCACTTACTTTCTAATAAATTTGTTAATTTAAACTCAATTCCACTCTCAATTCAAATCAAAACACTTAGTTTTGAGTTGAGAGTGGAATTCAACTCAATAAAAGTCTCAACAAAAAATTACAGTAAGTCCAATGAAGGTTTCTTGAAGAAACTTCATTCTGTAAGTGGCTACAAAATTAATGAGAGAATGAAAATTGAGTGATTGTAATTTTAAACAGAAAAATCAGTTTTTTTAAGTATAAATTTTCACATAGTTTTACAATGCTTGCAAGCATTTAAATTATGTTCAACATTTTCATCGAACACAAGTTACCTAATTATAGGTCAAATGAAAACCCACTTCAGAGTTCCAAATATTTTATTGTTTGGAACTTCTACTACTTTCATTGCAACAACCAATAACCATTGCTGGATGCAGCCTGCTACCAACCAGTTATAAAGAAATTTTAAGGGAGGCCTATGTTCACCAGTGGACGTCCTGTGGCTAAAATTAAGATGACAAACCAAAAACTGCAGCTCGTAATATTTTTGAATTTTAAGAAAATACTTCCTGTGCCATAAGTGATATTAATATTGCCGACACAGACATAAGTAACATCCTCTAGCATGTTGGATACATAATGTTTTAAATTCATGTATGTATATTTGAAAATAATCATGTAAGCATGCTACAGACTTCTGTCAGTGATAGAAAAACTTTAAATGTGAAGGCAAGTTGGACTCGCACAAATGGTTCTTTAACCAACGCCCAACATATTTCTTGTTATAGATGCAAAATACATATTCTGTAAAAAAAATTGTCTACCACTCTACCTAATGTATGGTTCATGAGATAAAGCCTCCTGACAGCAAACAAAGAGCAGAGATAATTAAATAGGGTCTGTTTTGGCACTCTTTCACCTTAAAATCTGTTCTTACTTTACACAACTGACTGACAGACAACATATTATATTCCAAAAACAAATACATATTCAATATTTGAAAGGTTTGAATTTGATATTCAAATTCAAATGGTTCAATTAAATATAAAATTCAAATTGAAATTGAAATGGTTTGTGAGAATTTGGAAATATTTATAAACAAATGAAGACATCCTACTTACTTGATGTTTAACTTCTGAAATTGCTATTTTTCTATATGCTTTGTTTCCTTTCCTTATTAAGTACCTCTAGTTAACAATCTCACAAATTACTGCATTATTGTAATCTTGATTAGTTAAGGTGTTGTCGATTGTTATGTAACTGATTTGTATTGTAATTCTAATTCAATTCAGTAGTAGTAGGTACTTAAGTTACTGTAACTTATTATCGAATTATGGTGAATTTGTAAATACACACATAATAATTTTCTTAAACTGTTTTAAGTATAAGTGGAAATGAAAATGTAGGTAGGCCTATAAGTGGGTGGTAACATAGGGACAAGTTGTATAACTACCCTCTCTCACATCGCAGAGGTTCTGTAACTCGATATATTTTCTCTACTTCTCTCTCTCAACCACCCAATATGCTGGGATGAGTGAAAAAGACAAATAGAGCACATTTATCGAAATCATTCGAAGAATTTACTCGAATTAACGTGCGTACAAGACTACGTGAATTCTTTCAAAATGTGCTGTTACTTCAAACAACCATTATTTCTTCAGGAAGCCTGGAAAAGGCGAAGGAGGTAGAAGATAAGGTAAAACAACAATATGCAGAGTCACAACACAGAGAGAAAGTGCTTGTCCGGAGGCTTGCGGCCAAAGAGCAGGAGATACAGGATTATGTAGTAAGTTTCACTGCATAATGTAATCTCCTTTGGCTGTAATTATTTACGTAAATTAACCTTGAATTACTCTGATTATCTTCAATGGATTGATTCTGATTTCAAATATGTTTACATGCTTTGTCTCCTATAATTTTAGTCTCCTCATACTTGCAAAAATACAGTTTCTACAGTTGTGAATATACATCGAAATACCATAATCTAACTTGTTTTCTAATTAATGGAACAATTAGAAGGTAGTTCAAATTAAAATTACTCATTCCAGGGTCAAATAACGGAACTGAAATCATCACACGCGAGTCTCAACGGTCGGCCGACGCTTTTAGATCCAGCCGTAAACATTTTAATACTAAGGCTGAAGCAAGAACTAACGTCAACGAAGGCACGGCTCGAGGAGACACAAAACGAACTCTCAGCCTGGAAGTTTACACCAGACTCGAATACTGGCAAAAAACTGATGGCAAAATGTCGGCTACTCCACCAAGAGAATGAGGACCTCGGCCGGATGACATCTAGCGGGCGGATAGCGAAGCTAGAGGGCGATCTTGCGTTACAAAAGAGTTTCAGCGAAGAAGTCAAAAAGTCACAATCAGGTCAGTTGGATGTTGAAGTATCTAATTTGTACTAGATAAGGTTATCATCGAATAGGAAGTTTCTATCTGCTTATGATGCTACAATATTTGACTATTTTCTCTTATCAATATGTGGCCATTTGTGCCTAATTATAAACGAACAGCTATTAAATAATAACAAGTAGTATTAAAAAAAAACGCTTACATTATTTAAAAGGCTTCCAATCATCAGATTGTATTTCGGCTTCTCACTGGTCAAAACTTCACACCAAAATGTGTTCCTTCCTTGGCACCTAAGGCTAATTTACAACTAAGACCCGTGTTGTATTTGTCGACACGTTTCCACTGTCGCAACGCCTTACCAATAACCGCCTACATTTTAACTGCATCATATCAGCTCCATAAATGCCACAACTTGATCATAACATTTCATTATATTCCAGAACTGGACGAAATCCTGCAAGAGCTGGACGAGGATGTCGAGGGGATGCAGAGCACGGTTCTGTTCCTGCAGCAGGAGTTACGCGCGACTCATGCGAGCGTGAACGGCGCGCGCTCATCGCCCGCCGCCGACAAGCGGACCTATTCCGGCTCCAGCGCCGACACGCCGCCTGGCAAACGCCGACGCGGCTCCGAGATCTCTCTCGACTACAATGAGGACGAGAACCCACTGACCATCGCCAACGGCGCCGACTAGCCCCGGCGACCTGTGTTCTCCTACCGAACACGCTACCTAAACATGAACTAGTGAAACTCGTGCTCTCGTATCTCTCATCACGTTGAATAATTTCAATCATTGTGGGTGATTATTGAAACGCTACTGTGTTCGGTTCGATCACTCATTTCAAATGTGAATTTATGTATTAACACACCCGAAGTGTAATCTATGAATGAATTCTATGTACTTTCATTAGAAGACGAATATAATAAACGAATATGTGTCATTTCCATTGACAATGAATTGGTGATGATTGTGTCTGACGTGAAAATGAGACTAAGAAAACATTTGGTAAATGTATGGTTTGCGTTTTATGCACAACAGTGGACCATGTGATCAGATTAATAGTGAATCGTTTTTGACATTGTTTTTATACTTGAATATTAAGACAAGACACTCGGTTGACAATTTTATAATTTATTTATGATAAGTGCATTGATTGTGATATATATTAGGGAATCCAATGATGTATGATGAGCAATAACGATTGACTTGTGTTGCCGAATTTCATAGTTTATGGCATTTATTTTATTTACATGCCAGAGTTGTGATGAACTCGAGCCGCTTATGAGAAGTACCGCAAACACCAAGCCTAATGTCTTATTGATTGCCACATATTTATTAAATTTATGCGAGTTTCTACATGAAATGTTTCTATTTTCAAATTACAATGAATGTATATAGAGCTATGTTAATAAACATATATTACTGGCATCACACATCGTGTATTATTTGGCGTCAAACCTACGGTTGTAAAACAAACATGTTGATAACACAGAATCGACGAAACGTATTTCAGGTTGTAAAGTTTTTCTCAACTGTTGTAAAATATTTAATAGGATGTTTATTTTGAGTGCATATTGCATTCTATGTGCTATCGGTAAGAACGTTTGCACCATAATTTTATCGTTTAAAAGTGGCGAGTTTTTAAAATTTTTCATATTTAATTATTTCTTTGACATAAAGCACATTCTAGCGAAGTGAAAAGCGATGATTCAGACTTCAACGTCAGTATAGATCTTTATGATGGAGCTCAAGTGTGGGAAGTTGGACTTAGGAGCTCAAAAGATATCGTGCTCATCCGAAGCCTCATAAACAAGGAAGGTCAGTTATTTAAATTTAATCCATGCTCTCTTTAAAATGTAATTCTAAAATGTCTCTTCAAAATATACAGTGGCGTAGCGTGGCTTTTCGCCGCCCGGGGCCGTCCGGAAATCCGCCGCCCTTTATTTTAATTATAAATATTTTAAAGTTTAAGTATTATACAGTGTGAGTCACGTTAAAGTGTACATATGAAAATAGATGAAACTAGACCTGTTTTTATCGACAAAAAAGAGGTCAAATTTTTTTGAGATTTTTTTTTAATTTTTTATAGAATTTTTTTTCTTCCAATTACTTGTTGTAAAGAAAACGTAATAACTTTTAAACTAAGCGGTATATCTTGATAAAATAAAAACAGTAATAATGCAAAATAACAAGCGATACTAAAATAATACATAAAATACACAAAAAATGCCAACAAATAATAAAAAATGATACTTTTTGAAAAAAATCTGCTTAAAAATTCGTGTTTTTTTGGTTATTTGATAAATTTCTCCAAAAAATGCCCCTATAACAGGTGGTTTTTATTACTTTGTATTATTCTCTATCGTATTATCTTTGTAAAACCAAAAATCGCATGTCTCTATCCCTATCACAACATTTGCTATGATCGTTTGAACAAAGGCCTGCCACAACATTATTCTCCGCTACAGGTAGAGACAATTTTAATTTTAACTAAAATGCTTATTTTACTTCGAAATCTTTTGTTTTTATTTGAAATCTAACTTGTCTTTATCAAAATTACAAATCTAGAGCCATTTTCAGTTTCGTTGTTAACGAAGCGTTGAATGGCGCGCCCGGAGAGGCTTAGTTCAAACGATCATTGCAAACGTTGTGATAGGGATAGAGACATGCGATTTTTGGTTTTACGAAGGTAATACGATAGAGAATAATACAAAGTAATAAAAACCACCGGTTATAGGGGCATTTTTTGGAGAAATTTATCAAATAACCAAAAAAACACGAATTTTAAAGCAGATTTTTTTCAAAAAGTATCATTTTTTATTATTTGTTGGCCTTTTTTGTGTATTTTATGTATTTTTTTAGTATCGCCTGTTATTTAGCATTATTACTGTTTTTATTTTATCAAGATATACCGCTTAGTTTAAAAGTTATTACGTTTTCTTTACAATAAGTAATTGGAAGAAAAAAAATTCTATAAAAAATTAAAAAAAAATCTCAAAAAATTTTTGATCTCTTTTTTGTCGATAAAAATAGGTCTAGATTCATTTATTTTCATATGTACACTTTAACGTGACTCACACTGTATTGAATGGACTTCAGGTACACTATTCACCTTATTTGTTGAAAGTCAAAATAAACTACCACGCACTACTTCAGAAGGAAAATACATTAAGAGAAGCAATTGCTTGAAACCCACAGGAAGTTTGATTTTCTTAAATAGCTCAGCTTTATTATAGTTAGGGAGGCGAGGTAGCTAAATGGCGTAATTCAACGGCGCCGTCGAGACCTGTCAAAATCGAAAGATAAAATAATTTCGAAAAGAAAAGCTCGTATGGCAAAAACCATTTTAGCGGTGGGTTTGGCGTGTACGGTTTTTCAAAAATGTTAAAAAAAACAGTTACTTGGGCATTCTCGAGCGCGTCAGATATTCATACTACGTATGCCCCGAGTGCCTCTGATAACAACGGTATACTAATCTGCCGGTTTGCGTGGTGAGGGTAGGCATATAAAGTAGTCAAAAATGAAAAAAAAATATATATTTACTCGAGCGCGTCAGATTTTCGGAAGGGGTGTTAAGTAGGCCCCAAGGAAGCTCCCTTTAAAAAAACTGACGATTTCGGCGTGACGATAAGTTACGATGAATTTATGAAAATGCAAAAAAAAGTTTTTTTGAAATACTCGAGCGCGTCAGATTTTCATAGGGGAGGTTTATCTCGGTATCCTGAAAGCATATTCTTTTAATCTGACAAAAATGTTGGTGGGTACTCTTAATCTGACCGAAAAAGGTTTTTGGTTTCTTTATTTTCCTTTCTTTCTCCTTGATAAAATGGGGAATTTAAGAATGCCAATAAAGCGAATTTTTTTTTGTAAAATGTATCGTTCGCGACTTATATGCCGTAACGCGTTCTTAGGAAGACGAAATGGCTTCTCCACACTTCCGGTCATGCGGAAACCGGCAGATTTTGTATTTTTAGTAAGTTTTAGATTATATTCTTCAAAATAAAAATAAAAAAATCGCGCTCGAGCATGCCGGATTAACGTTTTTTTTCACAAGTTCGCGACCCTATAACTCGGCGGCGTCAAGGACTTATCGTCAGATTAGTTAAATTTAGTCTTTAAACACTAAAATCAACCCCCAATATCTTAATCTGACGCGCTCGAGTATTTCAGACTATCCATTTTTTTTACTAATCTGATCGTCGATCCTAGGCGCGCGTCACTACATATAGAGCTAAATACTTTACATGGTTGTTCTATTAGGTCTAAGGTATCTCTCATTCTTAAACTGCCACGCTCGAGTATTGCCGAAAATTCCCCTATTCGCCTCCCTAACTATTATGTAACACTAGGTGTATAACAATAAACAATAATAACAAGTATTAAAGTATTTATTTGTCAATTGAGAGTAAATATTATCTTAAATTATATACAGGGTGGAATTTTGTAATGCCACCTGGAGGGAAAGTACTCTTAATATTATAGATAGAAAATTTTTCTCNTTGGGGAATCCCCGCGATAACATTCAGTATTGCACGTACGCCACCGGCCACACTGTCAACAAAAAGATAGGCGCAGAAGACAATCTAGGTATAGTAGTTGCAATTCACGAAGGTGAGTGAGCGTTACTTTTTTATATTGTGGTGGTGGGTGACTCGCTACTGTTCGTTTTTCAAAAGTTTTGATAGACATTACAATATCGTTATGTGCATGTACACGTACGTACACACACAAGCAAAGCTCACTCGCCTTCGTGAGTTGCAAGAATACATACAAAGTGCGCTCGGGCACCGCACACATAAGCCGGTTTTCTATAAGTCTTTCAATCACACCAATAAATTATGGTCGAAATATCTACAGTTTTCGATGTTTTTATTTTTTCATATTTTCTTGTATAAAACAAGTAATAAAATGATATTTGACCTATAGGGAACGGAACGATTTCGACCACAAAAATAATCGTCCGAGACTGTCCCAGATAACGCGTACGTGAGCGGTGTCTATGTGTGCGTTGCTCGAGCGCGCTTAGTAATGTTTTTCTGGCAATTATTTTATATTTATTTTAGTGCATGGGCGCCACGAATGTCCGGCGTGACTAGGGTTGCCACTTTTTCCAGATCCAAAAACACAAAAGCCGGACTCGGTGTTTCAAGAACTCGCTAATCTCAAGAACTTCAGGTCCGATTTGAAATATCATTTTTGTGTTAGATAGCCCATTTATCGAAGAACGCTTTAGGCTGTAAAACTCGACAGCCAATAGGGGCGGAGCAATAAAGAAAAATGTTGCAAAAACGGGAAATATTATTGAAATTGTTTTCACGTTTACGAAGTCGCGCGCACAGCTAAGTAAACTGAACACAGTTTTTAATAAGTGACATTTTGGAAATGTCACTTTAATTTGAAACACCTTTTAACCCTTAACTACTCGCATAAAGAATCTTACATAACTGCTCGCATGGGGTCACAGATAACCCCAAATTGTCTGAGTAGTTTTTAATACATACTGAAATTTATAAGTAAATGAAACTATATTATTATAAAAATGCTTTATTTATTCTTTAATATCTATAGGTAATAACATGAATTTCTTACTAATTATACAAAAACAAGCTAAATTAAAATAATTGTCAATAATTAACAATTTGTACTTAGGTATACTGAGATCATAGGTAATACTTGTATTTTTTAGGAACTGTCCGAATCATTCTTGTTACACTGTTGACAGTATATTTCAGAGTGATCATTGCACACAAATCTTGTACATTTCTTGCATTTTCGATTCACTTGATTGTGCGGAGGATTGCTCGATCTCATTAGCGCTATCATGATCACTTTTTGTTATTTCATCTAACTCTGGCTCAGAACTCGACCCTCCACCTTCTTCTTCATCAGAAACATCTTCCAACCATTGCATAATTTGCTATTTTTTCCTATCTCTACTAACTCTGAAAAAAAAAGACAAAGTAGTAGTAAAACTGAATTTATCAATATTTTTATTGTTTAGAGCTGTAAAAACACATTTATAACAAACATTTATTCATAGGGCAGTCTGTCAACCAGTTGACCTTATGATAATGCAGATCGGATAGAATTATTAAGGACAAGCGAAAACCAAACTATAAATTATTCTAAATAGATTATACATTATTATTCATACTAGCTTAAAATTGTGTCATTTTACTTGATATAAAAGTAGAAAGGTTAGGTAAGTAAGATAACAAGTAGGAAGCTTTCATTCCAGTAAAGTACATCCACTTACTTTACTGTAGGAGTAATAATACCGTTTTCAAAAGCCAATTATTTTTAATATAAAATATAAGTTCGAAAGAAAAGTGCATTCACGGTTTTTAGTAGTCTCAACTGACACTATATTTTCCCATGTTGTGTAAATATTTTTCCTACTAGATAAATATTAGCTGATCCAAATAACTTTAGA